GAAGAAGAGAATCCTGTGACAGTCTTAGGGTGCGTTTTTCAATGTCGATAGTGGTTTAGGCGCTATGTCACAAGGCAAAATCCCTCTTATCATTGACTGGTAGCGACAGAGAAGAAACCCGATCTGAGCACATCTTTCGATACCCATCTTGCTGGCTTTGCAAGTCGGTAACAGCTTCAGAAGCAGCATAAAAATGAATCATCAAGAGATCGGCCCTCCAGTCACTGCTGGTCCAGGCTCACGGCCCTCCCGGGTCACTTTGACAGGGACAACCGTGGTGCTTGAACCACTGTTGCCATCCCACGCCAGTGATCTCTACGACATCGTCAAGGGCGAGAACAACAACCGTCTCTGGACATATCTGTTCGACGACCCCTACGAGTCACTGGCGACCTTTGAAGCTGCCGTGACGGCAAAGTCTCAATCGGAGGATCCCCTGTTCTTCGCCGTCGTGGATAACCGAACCGCCAAACCCATTGGTTGGGTAAGCCTCATGCGCATCGACACCCGACACCGCGTCGTCGAAGTCGGCAACATCCTCTTCTCGCCGCTGTTGCAGCGGACAAAGGCCGCCACGGAAGCCCTGTATCTCCTGGCCAGGTATGTCTTTGAGACGCTGCACTATCGCCGATACGAGTGGAAATGCGACAACCTCAACACGCCATCAAAAAGAGCGGCGGTGCGCTTTGGTTTCACCTTCGAGGGCGTCTTTAGAAAACACATGGTGTATAAAGGGAGATCTCGAGATACGTGTTGGTTCTCCATGATTGAGGATGACTGGTTCCAGCGAGGTGTCAAGCAAGGGTTTGAAGGGTGGTTGGATGACGGCAATTTCGATGACAGTGGCAAGCAGAGGAGGAGACTGGAGGATGTTCGAGGGGAGTTGGAGGGCCAGAAGGGTCCTGTTTGTTGTACGGGAGTTTGAATGACACTGGGCAGCTGAATGGGTGTGAGAGAGAGAGAGAGAGAGACAAAGAGCAAAGGGTGTGGCAGCCGGCACCTATTTAGTTGGGGTTGTGCCATTAGCAGAGGGTGACCATTCACTTATTGGGGGATAGACAATAGTAAAGTACTATTCAGGTGTAGGCTTATTGTATAGCTATTATGTGAGTGAGTGAGTGTGTCTGTATCAAGGGGTGAAAATGGGTGGTTGGGTGTGGTATAGCCCTGAGCAGCCTTGATTGTGGTTTCCATTTGTTCTCTTTTTGTTTTCCGTCTTTCTCTTTTCCCCCTGCATCCTCCGTTCTTCAGCTGCAGCAGCCTCTGTCGGACATCTCTTGAACATAACGTCTAAAAGACGTGGTCGAGTGGCAATCGGTGGTGGTGATTCAGCCCAGCAGTGGCACGGTATCACACTAAGCCTATTTGGGAAGGAACCCGCACAGGATTTAGAGCCACTTCTTTCGACCTTCTCGTCCCTGTTGCTCGTGGCCGCTACCAAAATCATCCTGTCGAACCATTGCGCTCCTCCGGGTTCATCAAATCCCATTCATCTTCTCAAGCATCAGGAAGCACGTTGGTCACCCCCCTCACACGTCTACTTTTTCTCCCTTTTCCCCCGCCCGCGCCGTGGCCTTTGCTGGTCAAACGGCCATGTTCCTAAGGAATCTTCCTCAACTTCCGGCAGTTCCTTCCATGAGACTCAACATCGCCCGGACTCGCTCAAAGACTTCGGCTTCTGCTTCTGCTTCTCTGGCAGACTCGGCGACTCCCAGTCCCACCCAGTCGACGCACGAAACCTGCACGTCTGCTGGGGGTGCCACGTCGGTGAGCGACCCTGATGATTACGCTGACACCCTGGCCGCCAAACCCGTGTCATCAGCAACCATGAGGTCCAAATCCAACACCACAACCACAAACACCACTACTCCCGCCTCGGCTGATCGACGCAGTTCTCGTGGTCGACGAGCTTCTAGCCGTGTGCGCAAGCCGACTGCCAAAGCGCAAGCTCTAGGTGGCACTAAAAGGTACTCGCCGCCACCGTCCGGTACGATTATAATAGGTCGGTTGTCTCCAGAGCCCACACCATCTTCCAGCAAGGAGCCATTGTCGAAATCTCCTGCGCCCAAAGAGACGCCTGAGAAGGCCCAACCACCCCCAAAGGTGCTGCAGACCCCATCGGCAGCAAATGTCAACGGAACCCAAACCCCGTCTCCCACTAAAGTCGCTGGCCGAGAGGTACCAGTTTCTGCCGTCGAAACCCCTTCTCGGCGGACCTCCCAGAGGGAACGCAAACCCACCGCAAAGGTATTGTCAGAAACTGTGGTATCTCAGAAGCGTCCCGCCACCGACGAAGCCCAGGACGCTCCTGCCCGCAAATCCGCCAGACTCTCCCACTCGGCTGCTAGAGTCCCATCAAAGCTCCGATACTCTATCTCTGCTGAGAACAGTGAAGTGGATGATGTCGTCGAGGTCGAGCAGGCTCCTGAACCCGACGATACGTCTACCGAGAAATCCAAAATTGTCGTCTTAAAGTCCAAGCGACTAGCCGAAGTGTTTGGCCCGCCGCCAAAGCCAAAGCCAAAGCCAAAGCCAAAGCTGGAAAGCAGCTCTCCTGCATCCAAAAGGAAATCAAAACGGAGGTCTCAACGCCTCATTGCCAATCCTGAGGAACCTGTTGCAGAGCCTGGTCCAGATCCCCTCGAAATACCTGGGTCGTGCGATCTGACTTGCCTTTCTCCGTCGTCCCGGCTACTGGCATTTGCAGAAATTGCCTTGCAGATGCCGGATGGGGAAGACGAGAATGAAAAAACCGTGCCCGGGAGTGTTTACGACTGGCGTATGTACACGCAGGTTTGGTGTCAGTGTGAGAAAGACGAGGACGCCAATTCTGATCGCACAGACTCGGTCGAGCTTGCACGAGCATTGATGCCAAACCCGGTCTCTTCAGGCACAATCTTTGACCCGATTGATCTAACCTCGCCAAATCCTCTCGAACCTGAATTGCTGTCGGCGCCTGTCAACACTATCCTCCGTGCAACTGATGCAGAAAGACTCTCTCAGCTCTACACTCCACCCAGCCACAACTCAAGTCAAACACCAAACGGCACTCCGGCACCAAGTGGCATGGGAACTCGGAATGATTTTGGGGCTGGTGCCTCTTATCGACCCTCCGAGACCTACTCACCGGTCTATGAAGCGCCGAATCACAACATAATTTCAATACCTCACTCTGCGGCAACGAGACGAACATACGAGGATCGACTCAGGGATGATCACAACGCCCTGACTGACATCCGCAAGAGGGCGGCTGCCCGCGGGATATCGTGGAGTTTTAATATGACGTTCGACGATATCCACGCACTGATCATGGAAGCGGAAGAGCGGGAACAACAATTACAACAACGAGTACAATATCAGCAGAAAGCCATGAGTCCACCACAGAATGTGATTGATCGTGCGTACGGACACTCTGGTTCACAGCCTTCGCCCGCGCCTGGCGGATTTGGGGTGCTCTTGCCTCCAAGAACATCACACCGGGGACGAAGAGCTACGTTCGGTCCATTGGGTCCATTGAAGCGCAAGAGTAGTCTTGCGGCTCCTGTCGTAGCCAACGGAGCGGCTGAGGTGGTCCCAGAGCGACTGACGCCGAAGACTACGCACAGTAACATCAGCTTTGTCGAAGAAAACACATCACCGAAGCCTTTGGGAGACCGTCGACCTTCATCGTCGACTCGACCGAAGAGTTCCAGGTTTCGAGTGGATCCGAGGGGATTGCGAGGAGAATCTCCCGGACCAGGAACCATCATCAACATGTATGAGAAACTTGAAGCGGCCGAACACATGAGGCAGGCAGCGGAACGTGACAACCGTGGAAGGGCTTTGAGAGGGTTTGAGGGATATCAGAAGCGCGAGGAAGAAGAGAGAAAAGAGGGTTGGCCGAGAAAAGCAGCAGAGAGTCACGGATTGAATGGACATGGACACAATCGGGTTTGAACACTGGCGGTTTTACTGGCGGAGAGTCGAGCTGGTCGCTGGGGTATTACTACTATAGAGCATAGCGTCGGGTGGCTTCAGGGCCTCGTGGAGATGGTTTTCGACCACATCTTGTACACCAAGCATTTCATTGAGTTTTGTTTGTTTGAGGAGGGACTGGCAACAGCAACATGGCAACAAAAGATTCCATGGGCAATTATTCACCCATGGGGGAGTTTTTATGGTGTAGGTATTGGAAACCTGGCGAGGTATTCATCAAACTACCCAAGATAATCACTTTTACATCGACCGACATGGCACGATATCCTATTTTGTTGTATTGTATTTATTGTAATTCTTGTGGCAAGAAAGCTACGAGGAGATATCGAGTATTTGTGGGAAGGACGCGGAGGAAGTGCGTGTGTATAAGAAGAACTTGTGTGAAGTTCTGGTAAGAAGTAAGCAGTGTTTCTTCTACCTGCAAGTACATATCATTCCGGCACACGAGACACCAGACGAACCCGGACAAGATCAGACGAGACGAAACCGGACAAGATGAAGCGAAGACGAGGACGAAGACGTTTTGATCTTTCGCCCCCCAGACGTAATAGCGTTTCGCATTGGCCACCCCGTAGCTCCGTGGCTGCGTGGCCGCCCCTGAGTTATTATGTACAGAGTTCCCGAGCAGCCGAGTTGTTTAGGCTCCCCCACTTTGTCCACTTTGGTGAGAAAAGTAACAACAGGTAATCTCCATAGCGCGTTCTCGTCTATGAAGGCGCGTCTCGCTTTGGCAGTAATTACTGGGTACTTGTGTGCGTACCGAGTACGTGTGTACCGAGTATAGGTGGCATCATCATTGATTGCTAGCATTGGGCCATTGTGTCGCCACACAACGTATCGAGTACGGGTGCCGAGTACTTCGTAGTGTTACTGAACAGTGGACTTTGTTCTTGTTCGGGAATATATCACCCAGGCTTTGATTCGGGGGCAAGACAGACGGACGAGAATACCAGTTGGATTTCTGCAGCTATTCGTGGTCATCAAGTACAAAATCAAGAGCATTGATCGAGACCGGACACGTAACAATGGCAGAGGCACAAGTCCAAGTCCAAGTCCAAGGAGTGACGACGACGGCGAAGAAACGGGGTCGGCCGGCCAAGAAACAAAGTCTTGATGATGAGGGAGTGGTGTTGTTGCAACAGCAGGAGAGCAAGACAGAGGCCGCCGAGATGGAGATGGTTCAGGCTCTGAAACCGAAATCTCGAGGAAGGCCGAGTTCGTCGGCAGCGACGACGGCGTCAAAGACGTCTTCTCTGGCAGCGTCGGCGAGGTCGGGGAGAGCAAAGCAAGTTCCTCCTACTGCTGGTGCTGGTGGTGCCGCCGTCGAGGAGGAAGTGGTTGGTTGCGTGTCCTCAGGAAAAGGGTCGGCGTCGGCCAAGAGGAAACCATCGGCTCCTGCTGCTGGTGTCAAGACTCCAGAAGCCGCTCCATCCAAGGCTCGCAAGTCGACCGCAGCAAAGGTTTCTTCGAGCCAAAACGACACAGCGAGCTCTACCTCTACCTCTAGCTTAGCGACATTGACAGCGACAGCGACAGCGACCGTGACGGGGAAAAAGACCAAGGCAAAAGCCACAGCCAAAAAGGGAGAAACAGAAATCTCGTCGCAGACGACCTCGCAACAACCCGGCACGTCTCGCCTGTCAACCTCGTCCTCGACCTCAACCTCCAAGATCCTGGGCCACGCCAAAGCCTTTTCCGAGAAATCGAGTCAGCTCCAGCGAGATATTTTAAAGCTTGTCAACGAGAGAGAAGCCCGGCATTTATCGTCGCGGGATATTGAAGCCGAGATACTTGAGATGTCATCACATATCCCTTCTGGGGCGGACACAAAATCCCCAGTACCAGCACCAGCGCCAACTCTCGAGACTAGCTCGACCGGGCCTCGATACTCGATAGACGAGGCATCGAGCATGCTGGCTGCGGCAAACGCAGCACCGAACATGAATCACAACACCACTCTGACAAGTGACGCCGCCCCTGTACATGTATTTCCCTCCCAGACAATCGCCTCACTCAGTCAACAGCAACACTTCTACCCACCGCCCTCGGTCCTGTCCGCCCCTATCGCAACCGCCCAAACCCAGCACCAAGTCCGCGGGTACTCGTCGACAAAAGCCCTGCCCATGTCCACCACCATCGCCCTCGCGGCCCGTCAGCAAAACAACCCCAACGCGAGTGGCGGGTCGAGACCGTCCATGCCGCCGCGCCCGACGATCCCTCCCGAGGTGCCCAACGCGCCGAAACTGACCGAGTTGCCGCTCGAGCAGTTGAAGAAGGATCCCCGGTACAGAAAGGCGTCGACGCGGTATACCACTTTTGTGGTGGCGCTGCCGTTTGCGATTGTCAGCAGTTATTTCTTGTGGGAGAGGTGTAAGTTTTTCCATCCATCCTTCTTCCCTTAGTTCATGGACGACTGTCCTAACCCCCAATTCACTACATCCATTATTCCTCCGCCTTTATCCCCGACCCAGTTTATGCCCGCTCGTATCTGTGTATATTGGCTAATGGACGCCGCCATTCCTTCGGGTTTGGTGGGGGTGATTCGACAGATCGCGAACACCAGGAGTACTTGCAAAAAGTCCGTGAGGCCCGAGCTAGAGCGGCTTCGGGAATAGATGGATCGACCTCGATAGACAGAACAGAATGATCGAGGATAAGGAAGGGTGGAGGAAGGGTATTAGTAGGTGCCAGACGGACAGGGACGAGATATGTGGAAACGGATATGGAACTGCCCCCGACTTGAGGTCGACTCGAGGGAGATATTCTACGTGCTCTGTGCCCGTCCATCCAAGGAGAGCCTACTACCTCGTACGACAGAGTGTGCTGGGCGGATAGCGAGAGACATTCTTGCTTCCTTGCTTGCTAGCTAGCCAGAGGTTGAACCGACCAAGACCCCTCCTCCCGGTTATGTGCTCTCATGGCTCTACATCTTAACAAATCTACGAGATGAGACAAGACGATATTTTTCGAGAAATCGGATCTGGACAAAAACACGAAACAATGCTGTTATCCACCACGCTCTGAGCCTCCATCACTGATGGGATCGAATTTATCCAACACCCCCCCCCCCCCCAACCCAACCAATAAACAGGATGGGAAGAGAAGATGACGACGACGACGTTCGAATGGAGGTCGAGTTGAATTGAACCGAATTGAATCACATTGAACGGGGAGGGAAGGTGGGACGTCATGAAAAAGATGCATGAAAGATATATTATATGAAATGGACTCTTGAGAACGGGGACGGATTTGAGAATAGGGAATAACTGGTCAATGGAGTCCCTCGATATAACTATTAGAATCATGAAAAAATGTCTCTACTCATTCATTCCTCATTTACTCACTCAGGGGTCGCGTTGTCGCTATATACCTAGCTCATAACCACAGGTGAGCGTGTGGTTAAACTGGCAAATACTCGAAATGGACGTCTCGTTAGAATTTCATCATGCGTCCAGTCAAGTTGGCTCAGGACCTTAGGTTCTCACAACAACAACGAATGGACGAGTGGAAAAAGACGACCGTCACCACAATCGCGAATGGACTTGGTATCAATAGTGTCAATGCCTCAATGGGGGGAAATCTATTCCACGCCACGCTCCCGCTCTTGATCGCCAGGATGTGATTCCGTCCAGGCTAGGTAGACCTCGTCGCCGGGACGGACTCGGACCCCAAACTCCGCTGGATCTCAGGCAATGCAATGCTCGCTCCCTGCTCCCCTGTGTCTTTCGTATCGTTCATCTCATATCATGTCATTTTCCTCGGACGCTTTTGGTTCTCTGTGTGAAAGGGAAACACTAATTCCAAATCCACAATTTTCTCTATCGAGTCACTTCTCCGTCTCTCCCTGTGTCCCAGCCTCTTAGGAAGAGTGCTCGGTTCCTGAGGCTGGGCTTAGAGTTTGCTCTCAAACGAACAAGCACCCTCCCACGCATCACCGGCCTCGAGCTTCGTCCAAGAGCTCACGGTGCCCGGTTCTATGCACAGATATCTCTTCCACCCGTCCTTGGGTTCAAAGTCACCCATGCCCTTGATCTTGTCTTCCCACCCGTTCCACACCGTCACGTCCGGCAGTGCATCCCGCGTGATCACAAAGGTGTCCTGGCCGTTCTCCGTCACCGTCAAGGGCACGAGGGTGTTGTCTTTCGCATCGCTAGGAGGAGTGTACACGCGGTCTGTCTCGCCGGTGAAGGAGAGTGAGGAGGATTCTTCGGTAAAGGTCTGGGCGGAGCGGACCTTGTCGACGTAAGGCGAGGATTGGAGGCCGCGGACGGCGGTTTTGTGGATATCCTTTGGGCACAGTTCAGTCACACTCTGTCCTTACCGGGGGCCACGACCTGGATTCTTGAGATCTTACCTTGACAGCCAGGTAGGTGTGGAACAAAACCTGGAACTCAAACGATTGGTCCCCCTTGTTCTGCACATGCATGTGGCACTCCAGCTTCCCTTTGCCCAGGGTAACGCTGTACACCAACCCAAAGTCGAAAGGCCACTTCTTCCGCACGCCCTCGTCGAGCATCGATGAACTCAACCCAAAGTCGAGTTTGACACTGTCGTCGGCCTTGCGCCCCAGGGACTCGCTGCTGCTCTTCCCCAGAAATTCCCAGTAGCTGTTCCTTGCAAACCCATGTTGAGGTAGCTGGCCAGTGGCGTGAGATTTCGGGGGAGGCCCAAAGACAGGAAAGACAAGTGGAATACCGCCGCGGATGGGTTTTGAGCCATCCAGTGCTGCGGCAGAGGAGAGGAAGAGTTGCTCGGCACCATTGGAGGTCTTCCACGAGGTAACGGTCGCTCCGTAGAGGTAGACTGTCACCGAGTCACCACTCGGTAGCCGAGCTGTGAGCACATTGTCTGAGAGGTCAACAATGGGTTGAGCCATTAGGGGAGACACTGGGATGGAGGTGGGCTTGTTTTTGCGTTCCATGGCCGAAGAGGCGGTGGGGGAGGGGCAGTGGTTGATGAAGAGGATGGGGAGAGCAATGAGCCTTGGAGATGCTCCTCGTTTCGTGCAGGGATGGGAGATTTGTTATGTCACCGTCTGTAGCTGAGAGAACGGAGAAGGCAAATGTGTCCAAAGTGGAAAACGCATCCAGATTTCTGACTTGATCTCGTTCACACATCGACTGCGAGATGGAAAAGATGCCCTGGGTGTGAGTTTCGATTGGCTGGCGGGGGTCACTGCAGCCCCGAACGAGCTATGACGCATTCAGCCTTGCGACAGAGTGGAGACTCGACCGTTTGAGAAGGTAAAGTCACTGACACGATGCTGGTGATTCTGTGATAGCTCCCCACATCTTTCACTGAAACGTGTCTGTACCGAGTACAAATGGGCTCCTCAGCATCAAAGGTTGCTGGTCGAGCCGGAGGAGCTGCAGCTCGCCGCCAATATCCTTCGACGCCGTCTATCGTCAACTCCGCCCCTTCACCTACCGATGCTGCAATAAAACCTACGCCCGCAGCCGAAGTCCGTCCCAATGCAACCGCTGCTCCCCCCGCAAGCGAAAAGACAGAACATGTAGAGCTAGATGCACGAGATCCACAGTTTGGCTCTGCTTTGCGCCGAGTTGGGGTGGCCAGACCTGTGACGGAGAGAAGACCAGACGAAGACACCTTCCCAACCTCCAGCCAACCTATGCATTCCGGACAAAACATCTTCCCATCTGACGCGAACAATCCCGCCATGATGCTTGTCCACGCCAGAAAACGAATCGCTGCTCAATGGGAGTCGGAACTGGAAAATCAAGGTCGGCCTGGCTTTGCGGGTAGAACGCTGTTGAGCGTAAAAGATATCAAAGAGGCTTTCACGTTGAGAGACGAGCTGGGCAAGTCCCCTCAAGAGATTGAGAAACAAATGAGGTTGAAACCGGGAGTGCTTGACCAGTTGGTCGCAAAGGACGTGGTGGCCAATGTTTGAAGAATTGGCTCATACCGGACCGTGTCAGGTCGACAGAAGCCAAGAGGAGAGCTACAACCTTGTAATATGACGCGAATTACTGCCTACTTCGCAGCACAGTTGAGTTGCGCGCACGGAGCAGTGAAACTCAAACTGGTTTTGGTCGGAGGCTCTGCATAGCCATTTCAGTCAAAAACAAAACTACACACAACCTCCTGCGCCGATGGATGCTCGTCCCGCATGGATCTGCATTCATACCTCATGGACAACCAAAGCGAGGAGTTGATCACTGACGCAGAGACTACTTCATAGGAACATTGTCCCGAAAATGACATCGAAACAATCTTTTTCTGCCCTCTGTTACGGGCTGCTTTACAGTAACGCCCAACAGCACAACACGACCGCCTTCGTCAAGGCACCTTTCGAACGTATTGCGGCACCCATTGATAGGATTCGTTGGGTGGAGAAAGCGACCAAGAAGTTGCCCGCAGATTTGCAAGCAGAACTGGATCTCTAATTGCGAGACGCTCCTAGCAATACATTGGGGGGGCGCGAAAGACATATCCCTGATATTATGACGACTGGGAAAGCTGAGCTAAGTGATTCCTCCGCTACGAAACCGCCAGGAATTGAGGCACCTGGACAATAACCCTGTCCAGGATAAGGACCGTGCCTTTGAAGATCAGTTATTACAGGGAACAACCGATGGTTTCGATGCAAGAATGTGCGACGCTCGTCGAACGTGGAAGAAGGTGATTTAGAAAACGTGTCCATGCACATAGAGGAGGATAATGTGTCAGATATCGAGATTATAGAATTCAGGCTGTACACAGGTCTATTCCCTATCTCAACCCTAAATATCTTTCTCCTAACGTCACCTCATTCGGCAGAGATGTCTTCCATGTTGACAGATGTATCTACTGTAGTAGATAGCATACCTCTTAACCTCCCGTCTCTTGCTTCGCCGCTCTACTACTTCCCCAGGCCGCAATCCCCTCGTCGTTCGTTCTCGTCTTCCCCTCGTTCTGACTCCTGCTGCCTCGGTCTCACAACTTCCCACCCATAGCTCTCCTTCCAATCCCCTGCTTCCCCTGACCTTGGACGAGATCCTCGATCTCGATCTCGCTCGTACACAGGATAAACGTGTCCTCCAACGCCGGGACCCGGTATTTCAAGTTCACGGCCTGGTAGTCTTCCGAGGCCAACATGTCAGCGAAGTGCAGTATTGAGGGATAGCTCGCCAGAGCGAATTCGTCCCACTTGCCGCCCGACTGTTCAGGCGGGGTCTGGTGCGTGATGTTGCCAACCAACTTGGCGTTGCCGCCGCGACGGGCGCCGATGGACTCGGCGAAGGCAGCGCCGTATTTCAGGTAGGACGGCTTCATGCCCTGCTTGAAGGCTAGCAGGTTGAGCATGGACAAGGGCGACTTTCCCGCCGTGGTGTGCGAGAACTGTTGGATCCACGACTGCAGGTCCACGCTGAGTTCGAGCGTCTGGGACGAAGTCCCCAGCCGTGGATTGTCCAGCGAGCCGGTCAGTGCTGGCACCTCCGAGGCCGGCGGATGCAGCAGTTTATCGTTCCTCTGAGCAAAGTCGTTGGTCAAGCGGCTGGGGATCCCCGTCGAGCATGTCCAGTGGCACACTATCTTCTCCTTCACAGATGGGGGCAGGGCATCAGTGCCCAGGACGATGAGGAGCACATCCCATGGCTTTTTCGGGTGGAGGAGCGGGTCGGCATCGATCTTGGTTGGTCTGATGATCCAGCGAATCACTTTGGAGATTACCAGCGGTTGCAGAGACGAGGTCCTGACACTGTTGAGGAAGTCGGGTAGGGCAGTTGAAGGGGAGAGAGAAACGAGATGGATCGTCGCGAGAGGCATCGTCACAACTAATTTGTCCTACGCGCTGTATTAGAGGGAGAGGAGTCCCGATAGAGAGAAGAAGAGCAGAGAATAGACAATCACAGCGCCTGGAGTGCTAGCAACGCGAGAGGAGGAAGAAGTAAAACCACCTGGGCCATGTCGCAAGTCGGAACCTTTACCTTTGAAAATGCGATTACTCGATCATCCAAACTTTGGGACCTTTTCAGCCTCGGTCCATGAGCCAGAGCGTATTTTGGAGAAGCGAAGCCAAGTCCGATCAAGGCTATACAAGTGGGGATCACATCTAATCTTATCAGAGAATCTTTTTCAATTTCTCTCTGCGACTGCTCGAACTGGCAGCGGTTGAGCACCTACATCTTGCGATTATTTCGCCGCACAACCAATATACTCTTGTCCTAGAATTCTATCTTGTGAGAACCTGGATTGAGTTCTTGTTTGTTGGCTCACACTCCCCGCATCAAAAAAGGACAAAAGGGCACAACAGCATCCAATTTTCGTCGCATCCTCATCTGTCCCAATCCCAGCGATGGCCTCTTCAGCAGGCCTGACACCTCTACCTACCTCGGTGCACCACTCTACCACCCGCCTGACACACTACCACGCACACTCTTTCCTCTCGGAATTCCTCGACCGCGCGGAAAATGACGCCGCATACAGACCGGACAGCACACTGACAGAGCGTGGGCCGCAGGCCCTGTCTAGTGGATCGACACCCAATTTGACGCTCAGTCACTTGAAGAGGATCTTGAGCGGGATGGAGGGGAAGCGGATCGGTGGGAGTCTTGGTCTGGAAGAGGAAGCGAAAGGAACGAGTGAGAATACTGGAGACGACGAAGAGCTCGGAGGATTGGGAGGAACGGAAGAAGGTCAAACACCGCGGAAGAGGGGGAGCCAGAAACGCGCACTGGACGAAGACGACGAAAATGAGGACCCGCAAGCCCCGGGATCCAAGAAGCAGAAACGCAAAATCATCTACTCAATCAACCAAGAAGGCGTCGAGGACCCGCAAGTCAGCGCTGAGGTTGAGGCCGGGGCGGCGCTAGATCAAGACCGAGGGGAGGACGACTGGCAAGACGCAGAGACGTATGCCCTCGCACAGACTGAACTCCGCGAGTACGACACCGCCAAAGATGAACCTCAACCAGAACTCGAGGTGGAAAACATTGACGATGAGCGGGACTCGGAAGAACCAGAAGCTGTAGAACATGACAATTCCGATGGAGCTGAGCAACAGACGCAGACGCAGACGACAGCAAGGAAACGTGAGCAGCGAGAAGTCGACGAAGATGCAGATGCAGATCGCGGAGCACAGAAGGCGAACAAAAAGAAAGCAAAGGACACAGGCACAGCCCAGCCAACGGCGACGGCGACAAAAAACAACCAAGAGGTGAGCAAAGAGGAGAGAAGAAAAATGAAGAAGATGCGGCGGAAGGATGAGAAGAAGGAGAGACAACGGGAGAGGGAAGAGAGGAATAAGAATCGATAAAATCAGGAAGTGGCTGAGATGGACAATCGGGTTGGTTCAAGAACATACTCGATCCGCTATACGAGCCGGGAAATCGAAGACGACTAGTCCTATGGAATCTATTCTCAAACCCCCCTATATCCTTTCAACTCTCTTTCCAAGACACATGTTGTTCAGAGAAGCGGATGCTTAGGTATATGAGCTCACACAGACCTCGAAAATACAATAGAAGGTCTCCTCCGTCCTCTTGATATGGAGGCACACGAAGCAAAAGCAATGAGAATGATGTTGATGTACATTGTGGCCATGGCTTATGAACCCACATTCCCGAAAGTACTTGATCAGCTCACATAAATATCCAGACAGGTGCACCAAAGGTGACAAGAATGTCGCCGCGCTCGTGGCAAGGCAAGACGTCGTTCTCACACACTCCAAGCAGCTCACTCAATATTAACCCTTTCACCTGGTCTTCTTTCCCTCTCTCCCACTGCTTTGCCTTTTTACCGTGGGGCTGGAAACTTCGCTCTCTTTCTTCTCGCGCTCTGCCTTCTCCTTGGCCTCGAACTCTCTCATGGCATTTTCGTCTGCCCGGTCTGCATACCATTGACCGAACTGCAACACCAACACGCCAACAAGCACCAGCGCCAGGATGGTATTACTGGCAGCCAACACCTTCAGGTTGTCCTCACGTCCAAGAACGCTGTCGCCCGAGGTTACATCATATCCGCGCGAATTCACCTCATCAAGCTCGTCCTGTGATAACTTCTCCATGCCTAAACCGTAGGTGCCATCATTGACAATCCTCAATCCCTTGACGATGTTCGCAATATACACGATCACCGCAACCATGTACAACACCAAACTGCCACCATCAAAGAGCAGGTTCGATTCGCTGGGTTTGTAAAGCTTAATAACAAGGCCCAAGATGCCAACGCCCAGCATTATGTGTAGAATGCGCACAATCAGATTCGGGGCATTGTGGAGAAGTTTCAGGTGTGCTTCGATGGCGTCAAAGTGAGAGGCTGGTGTGGGCAGTGAGGACCACAGAAGTGGGTAGTCGTAGGGGAAAAGAGAGAAGACGATGCCCAGGAAGAAGGAGACCGCTGCATCACCAACATGTCAGCGCTCTCGAAGCGACCTGCGCCGGGGAAAATTTAGATTGGTCTTACGGCAGATGATGAGGAAAGTCGCAAACGAGACCGACGGCATCTTGGTGAATTGGTGGTCGCAAACTGGGACCAGTCGCACGGCAGGTAAAGACGAATGAAGAGTTGAAGTTCAGTACAGGTTGGAAGCGGAACAGCCCAGCTGCCACTATGGTAGACACGCTGTCAGGGTGTGTGTGAGCGGGTGATGTTCGTTGCTGTGTTTCAATGCGACGGAGCGGCAGAAGATGCGTGTCAATCTGCGGAACAGAGGGAAGAAGATATGAGTAGAGACGCAATTAAACGTGCTCCAAGGCCACAGATTTATGCAGATACAGTCAAACAGAGAGCTGCGGCGGATTAGGAAGCAAGCGCACAGGTTGCACAGGAAATGACCGACGGCCAAATCTACTGCAGGATGATGTTGCATTTGCTTTCTCGACAAACCGTAGTGAGCGATAACGATAAGGCTGCCAAGCCGGATGACTTGTTTCTCCGAAATCCGATGGGTGTTTGTCTTCCAATGACTTCCTCCATGACCATGCGACGTGGATCTACGGGGCTGTTAGCCCTGTCTATGCCTTGGGTACCTCCCATGGCAAGGGCTGGGATCATGATTTAGCCTGTCATCAACAAACTGACCCAGGGTTTCTACCCTCTTCGTTTTACCCCCAATTGGAAAGCTCCACGCAGCAAGGTGTACTCGGTAGGACTATCAAGGCTATGTGAATGCACCATTGAGGCTGAGGCGAGTCGAACCTCGTTTCCTGTCTCAGCCTGATTTACATTTCTTTCTTCCTCCTACCCCTACCCTTCTTGCTGTTAGATTAAAGCCATACATGTCTTGTTTCGGAAACCGAATATAATTTGGAAGCTGTATGATTTGCTGCAATCTCTGTTGACTCTGGCGTCTACCCTCATCCAAGTCTCCACGGTCATAAGAGACTTGAGAAGGAATTACGGCGAATGTCCCCAGGGACTGATAAACCTAGCATCCGCCGTGGACGAGCTCGAACGCCTCATTACTTACATGAAAAGCCTCGACGAGACGCGCCTCATAGATCAGGGAGACCTTGACAAGAGGCTTTTCGAAGACTCCCAGGCTTTGGTGGATAAACGCAGGCAGGATCTATCTGGAATTCAACAAAAGTCGGGCCAATTCAGTCGTCCTGCAGAAAAGGGGTTTCGAACAAGACTGAAGAAAGCCCTGAAGAGGCTGAATCATGACCGTGACATCGATAATTGGTGGCATCAAGTCTTGCACTATAACCAACTTCTCTCTGGCCTCTTGACGAGAATTGCGATGTACGGCTGCACACTGAACAAGGTCCATGACATTCTCCAACCCATGCAATAGGAACGAAAATCGCCTCAACTCGAATAGCCGCATTGGAACACTCGAGGATACATCCATGGCACAATTTGCTCAAGTTTCTTCTCATCTGGATGACGTCCAGTCCTCCACAGCACTACTGCCTTCAATGCACATGAACCTCCAATCCCAAAGGACAGTTGCGAATCGTATCGCAGGAAAACAGGAGGCGGAAGGCCAAAGGATCCGTGCTATCCAGCAGGCTCTATCGCGATATGTTGTCGATTCTGTCCAACATCGTCAGACGGCTCTGACAGCATTTTCCGAGATTCACTCAAAGTTTGATGACCTACGAGGAAATGTAGCACAAACATTGCGCATGTCACGAGAGGACCAGAATATATTGAGTGATATCTGTGTAGGTATCAAAGAGTTGCAACGTAACGTGGACAACCATGACTGGAAGTTCTCGAGATGCGAGAATGCCGAACAGAATACGACATCGCGACAAGCCTCCTCTTCAATTCTCCAGATGAACGACCCCTTTGCAGCCAGCTTCCTTCGCCTCATTCAACTGACTGAGCAATCCATAACTAACATATCATAAATCACCCTCAAAGTCACCGTCAGAGATCTAGTGCAGATCTTGGATTACATGAAAATATTGACACAAACAGGCACCGGCCTTCCCGGGTTGGCAGTCAGTGGACGGGACTTAGATGACCTTGAAGTTATGCGAAGCATTTTTCAGCTGACACAGAAGTTGGAACTTGTAAATTCTAGTGGTCAGTTCACAATATGACCTCATGTCTTCCACATTGCTATGTGATAAGCAGAATCACTAACGCAGCGAAGGACTAGGGGAGAGTCCCTCGGACAAGGCTGAGCGCAACCCTTTCCAGCCACCGAGTCTCACCACAGTTCCAGCACCGAATGTCCGAACATTGGGAAGGACGCGGTTTGCAACCCTAGAAACAGCCATAGGGCGTCTCGATCTACTTATCAAACTGTCAAAATCATATGCAGGCGATTATGATGCCCCAGGAAATGTCTCCGAAAGCAGATTTCTTGCCAAGGTGTCGCTTCTACCATGGGCAATTCTTGCACAAAATGGTAATGTGCCTCTTCTATCAATGTCGTTATTGGTGTCGTTGAGGGTGAGTGATGCGCGACTAGTCTGCTAGACCGAGAGAGGAGAGAATGCTCACTTAGGATAGCAAACCTTCCAGTTAATGTTCGACCTCATTGAGCCGCTTATAACCCCCGACCCAACAATGGACTCGCCGTTGGGTCCTCTGGAGTTACTGACAAGTGTCGGTTTTGAAAAGTGCACGACGGAAACGGCCTCCAAGATCGCGTTCCTGGGAGCAGGAGGAGCTGATCCGTATTTCCGCAATGGAAGGGGAGAAAGTTACCTTCGTCAGATACTCGTAGCGAGAGCCAAGTACTCTGGAACGATGTACGAAAGCCTTGTCACCAAAGCGCACGATGGGCAGTTGAAGGATGTGCTAATGCTCCTGGTCACTGCTGGTGCCGATGTTTTTGCGGTGAACCGTTCAGGGGAGAGCGTTTCAGACGTGGCAATCAAGTTAGGATACAGTGTCGAGTGGAAGGAAACTCTGGAGGAGTGCGGCTACGATGTATCGAACGTTCTCAACCACAGCGACGAGCATGATGAGGTCCCTCGCCAGCACCAGCAGCGCCATTTACTCACATTCGCTGAGTATCTCCAAGTGAGAAAGTCGAGGCTACTCAACCTCAAGGTTGGAGAGGACTAAACCCGACAGGAAGTCTACAGAAGATATTACAGAACGGCTGTACCAAAACATTTGCGCATTAAAGAGATGGACAGCAGCGATAGCAGTGACAGCGAGGAGGAAGAAGATGAGGACGACTTTGGCGAGCAAGCCGACGGCAACTCTGACGCCGAAAGCTTCCACACGACAATGGAATCGGCCAACGAAGACACTTGATTGAGCGGAAGAGCATCAGCAATGGGTAATGCTTCCTAGCAAGTTGGTCGTTGTTGATATAGTGTCTGCATGAACGTGACGGAAAACAGGTCAACCTTAGCACTTCGAGTGCTTTCCAGACTAGAAAAAACACGCACAGGCACAACACACCGAGTACAGGCACAACACAGACATATCGCGCATGAAGCAGCACACCCATCAAAGCGGCGGAGTCTCTACCTTTTTGGCACGGAGGTCTCTCCCAGCCTGCTCAAGTTGAGAGGATGTGTCTAAGGAAAAAGCTTTGTTCCCCAGCCATACACCTCTTGCTTGCGATGGCTCTCCGGACCATTCGATCCGGTACGGCACCACTGCCGTTGAAACCGGGAGAAACAAAAGTAAACACGGCTGCGGTTCGGGAAATGACACGAGTTTCTGCACACTAGAGTCCAGCAGTCACACTCTTTTCCAGCATCACAGCGGGGCCAATGTCCGGGAAGTGGATTCGGGTGCAGCATGCGAAGATCTCTCGGCTTGGGCTCAGTGACCCAGGTCACCAGGTCTCCGATCGCCAGCGTGGAATCTGATCAGTCGGGCATCCCGGGGGGGTTGACGAGACATTGGCATGGCGTGCAGAAGGCACACCTTGTACGAGTAAGCACACAGAACAAATTGAGGCCAGGCTTAAAGCACAATAGCTTGTGCTGTTGGCGAAGGCTTTTGGGAGGGGTAGTGTGGAGTGGTAAGCGCGCTTCAATCGGTTTTTGATCTGGTCATCGGGGGAGAAGGAGAAGAAGTTGTCACCTTCAAAGAGGTCATGCAGGCCGCGCCGCTTGTATGCAGAATATCGATAGTTTGGGCGATCTGGCAGCTGGCACGAGGGACTGCGGCAGCCCTTGGTCGCAGTCTGCATGCGTAGAGATATATTCGTTTCTGGTCAATAGATACGAGTTGTTTATGCGGGTGGACGTGGCGTCCAGACTGGTCAAGGCTGGTCACACATGGCTCTACGGGGAATTGACTAATTCTGAGGACACGGCCCCCTTTCCACCTACTATTGGTATGGTGTATTCGAGCACATGTTCCGCGTTGGAGTGGGAGCGATTGGTCGAGGAGTGCGGCACACCTATCCACGCATATCCGTACTCGATACACCTGTGCAGAGAGCGAGAGAGCGAGGGAGCGAGGGACGAAGGGATCCGGTGTCCAGGGTGCGACAGGAAGGTGGGGGAAGTGGTTACGAGTCCTCATATGCATACATACACATGTCGGTAGATCCCAATCCAGAGGCGGAGAGGAAACAAGGACAAGTACCAAGTAGTGGAGCGCTCGGGTGGATGGTTGGATGGCTGGATAGATGGATACGTGGAAAGGAATCATCTCCCCGAATTAGTCTTTATTGCTTCATGCAGACACACACACACAGACAGGCAGTCAAAGGCTTTGATCTCTTAGCTTCTACGAGTACACAGGTGGGGAAGAACGGATTCGGATACGAATAACCGGTACGTAGACCTGTCTGTGATGTGACCACTAACCATTCACTTGTTGGATGCCATACTCGCGCTGCTCGAGATTGATCATCTACGAGTAGCGGCTAATGGCTAATATGCATCGTTTGGGTTCTCTCACCCTCGCTCTCACTCTCACTCTCTACGACCACGAGTATTGTCCCGGGCGTAAAACCAGCCAATTTCACCAATGCTGCACCATCTCGTGGGGTAAATGATTCTGCTAACTATGTCCTGGTAGGTAGTACCCAACGGTAGCAGGTAGGGGAAAAAAGCCACAATTTTAAGCGCCCGCCCCCTTCCTTCACTTCCCTTGCCTTACCTTCTTCCCCGGTATCCCCCAGTCCAGGCAAAAGTCCGCCGAGGCTCCGATCCTTTTCCCTTCCATTACTCTGGGGACTTGGGATGTATCGGCTATTGGCTGAGCGTTATCCATTTTTGGATTGTGGAGGAGGAGAGGCATGCAGATGGGATGCATGGAGAGGTCTGAAGAGTAGGAGGTAGTAGTAGGTAAGTGAGAAGAAGCAAGGCAAGGGCAATTAAGCAACCTAAAAATAACTATCCCGGTGCCCCCTTCCCTCAGTGGTCTGAGCCAATCACACCGTTTTGGAATTGACCGGTGTAAAAAGGTTCAGGTGGGTGATTGGGAGTGATAGGCCACGAGCGCTCGAGTAGGCGCCGGACCCAGAAAACAAGCCTCCCTCCACTCTTGGACGGTGAGCGAATAAACAATTCTCCTGTCATTAGCGCAGTTCCAGCGTTGCGGTAACAGCGGGGCGGCCGGGCTCCTCCCGTGTCTCACCATCCAATCGACGCGGGTTCGAAGCACGCTAGAAGAAACTTGGGGAGTTTGTCTGGAAATTTTACTCGTGTCCTTCTCTTCTTCGTAGGTAAGGGTAGGGTACTACTGACTTTTGTTGATCCCTGGCACACCTTACAGAGGGAGGGTGCGTTGGCAATTTTCAAGAGTCGAAAAGTCAAATCAGGCGAGAAAAGCCAAAAGGAGGCACACTAACAACTATTACTCCAGAGAGGTAAACAGATGGGAGGGAAGGGGGGTGATGTCAGCGCCCGCCGCCAAACCCGATGTCTCTTTTCTCGCTGCTTTTGTTGTTCCCCCCTCCCTCCTTTTTCTCGCTCCCCTACCTGCTGCATCTCCAGACTCAGGAGGAAACAGGGAAAGATTCGTGTCCCCCCTAATAATTGACCCCGTCGCTCGCTCGCTCTTCACTACTATTGTAGGTACCTTCCGCTGTGATATCTGCGGGCGAGATACTTGTTCATCAACAACCCCCTGCATAGGGGCTGGGCCAAGGACACCCCAAGGTGGCATAGAGCTTCGAGCCATCTCTCCTTCCGCAGTTGACCGTTGCCCCTGAGAATCTCCCTTGCATCCTCGAGGCAGTCATGTTCACTTGTCTGGGTCACAGATAACAAGGCACTTTTGTCCGCCTAGATTTGTGTGGTTTGTGGGGGACTTCACAAGCAAAAGTACAGACGGACATGTCAAAGGAATCCCCTTCTTGGTACAAAGTCCCTTTTCATCACCGCCTCCCCGACTGGCCGACCATCCGTTGAGGCTCGCGGCTATCCTACCAATGGGGATATGAAAACGGCCTTTTTCTGGCTGACTCTGACCTAGGGATTTCATGGATGTTATACATAGTATACTCGTACAGAGCTCGATAGCCCCTCCAGTTGCTTCTTCTCGAGGCTTTCCCTACGTAATCCCGTAACCACCCTCAACGAATCGAACTGCTTCCACACCCCAAGCCGCCCAGGTGGATCGGTGATCGAGCAGCAGCCGTGGCCCACTCATATTGCGAGCACTTGGTCATGACTGGCGGCGGCTGGAGATCCTCATGCCACGTTTTCTCCCGAAGCCTATTTTGCGTCCATGGCCCCCAGAAGGCCGCAATGCTGGACGCGCACTGGCCGACAACAATAGACTCGGTACTGTAAACTTTTTCAACATAGTTTCATTTATTGGTTGGTTTGCGTCTTGCTTCCCAAGTGTGCGGGAAAGAACATGGCTTGTTCGGCTTCCGCATCAAGACTCTTGCGAGTCTCTGTGAGCCCTTGCCCTGCTCTGACCGCAGAATCCGGCTGCGGAGTCAAAAATGGGTGTCCCACCAAAAATCCTTCAGTGCTTTTCAGAGTTCCGCCTCGTAACCACCCTTCCGAATCGAAAGTCTCGTAAAAATAATCCCAGCAAAGCCTACCATATCCCATTCTGCATTGCTTGTAAGATACCGAATGCGTGCTTCAATGTTTCGTCTCAACTCCTCGAGTTCGGTTCGTTGGTTTGCGGTTTCTTAACGCCGAGCACCTTCGCAGAATCATGTAGTGTGGTATCACGTATAATAAAATCGATAGCAAAGTATGTCGTAAAACCCGTGATATTCCTTTTCCGAGGGTGTCACAGAGATCAATCCGTCCTCAGTGAAACCTCTGCGAAATTCCATTAAAAGTGCCATCACACCATGGCCGATGCGTGAATGACCACGTTATGCGACGGCAGTCGTGGGGGGACTGACTACCGCCGGACTAGGGCTGGCCGATGCAGAAGGGGAACTGATGGCACTTGTTTGTGAGTCGATCAGAGTTGAAGGGAAGTCAATAGCCTTGATGCCAGCAAAGTCCTTCGAGCTGGGTGGCGGCGGCATGTCACTGGCGTCGGTTTTGCGCTTCTTTCCCTTGGGTGCCGGGTCGAGGGGTGGCGACCGTTTGTATGTCACTGTCCTCGTCACAACAGATCGAACATTGACCGACTTTGGACATGCACTCCTCGGCGCCTCGAAATACCGCCGTGTCGCGCTCTCACAATTCCAGTCAGCTGGCGAGAATGGAGAGTAGACGCCGCCAGTGCTCATGCCGCTCATGGCAGTCCGCGGAGAAGGCCCAGCGGTGGATGGAGAAAAGGCTGGAGAGTGCGGAATCCGCAGCCGCCTCAAGTGAGTGGGAGTTTTGCGAGCGTGCGGAGTCGGTGGGACGGAACTGGATGGCGACTTGTGGCTTTCGCTTTTGCTGGAAAAAAGACTGGAAGTGGTAGACGCGTTGGATATCAACGAGTGTCTAGTGCATGTCGACTCGTCCGACAACGACCTCTGCAGACCGCTGCTCACTGGAGGGCTGGCCAGGACAGGAGTCAGAGCCTTGAGGAACTCGGTGTAGGCAACGGGCGGTGTAATGGGAGTGCTCAGACTCGCATTCTCTTGCTTGACCACAGCGGAGACACATGAAATCGGTGTCGCGACAATCTCGGAGGGGAACGAGGCCGTCTTGGGGGTTTGAAGAGGAGGAAGGACTGGTCTGGTTACCGCGGGCATCTTGACGTCGACAACGAGAGAGTCGGTCGTGGAAACCCTTGCTGGTTGATGCTGGCGTGCAATGAAAAGGTAGTTGACGGTCGAGGGTCTGACGGACACCAGCGTAGGGAGGAAAGGATCGTGCCGTGAAGAAGAGAAGGGAGGGAGGGAGAGGCGCACGGGGACGAGCAGGTCAGGCAAC